GGGGGCGGGGGATCGAGGGTCGGGGTGTCGGGGTGGCAAGGCAGGCAGGACGGCGCTGGCTGCAGGGGGTCAGCCCAGCCCTGGGGCGATGCCCCCAGCCGTGCCGGCGGCACTGGGCTCCCCTCCCTGCCAGCCATCACCGTCCTCCAGCTCCTCGGCACCCGGCACAGCTGATGCCACCGGCCCCAGCAGGGCGATGTAGTAGGAGCTGCAGTAGACGGGCGCCTTGTTGGGGCTGGAGTAGACCTGCTCGGGCCGGAGCGAGGCGAAGGGGTTGGCGGCGTAGCCCATGATGTGCGTCTCGAGCTCCACCAGGATCTGCAGGGAGGACTTCAGCTCCTGCTCGCTGTCGGGAGAGGGGGAGGACGGGCCCTGTTAGCGGCCGGCTGTGCCGGCACGCTGTGGGGACCGGGACCACGCTCACCTGTAGACGGTGAAGAGGACGGGCAGGCGGTAGTCCCGCAGCAGCAGCAGGGGGGGCAGCCAGCCCGCCAGCAGGTCCGGGCAGGCGTGAAAACCTGTGGGGATATGGCAGTGAGGGTCCCGCCTCCCTCCCATCCCATCCCGGCCCTGGGGAAAGCCGGCTCTAACAGCACCCGCTCCGTGCCGGAGACCCGCGGGGTGCGTGGTGATGCTGGCAGCGGGGCTTGGCAGCCCTTAGCAAGGTGGGTCCCGTCTCCCCACCAGCATGGGGGGCACCCCCGGCTCTGGGTCCTGGGCTGAGCCACCGCACCGAGATCTGAAGGCAGGGACCCCTTTGGGTGCTGCTCGCACCCGCTGCCCGGCAGGCGGGTGACACAGGCAGGACGCTGAGCGCCAGGGAGTCACCCTGGCTGCTCTGGCTGTGCGGGGTGGCCCATTGTGGCTTGGTGCACAGTCACAGCAAGACCCGGGCACGTCCTGAGCCCCCAGCGGTGCCGGGGCACTCAGGGTCTGCCCTGCACCCTGCCGGGGACATCCCGCTCCGGGCAGCGGGGTGGCGAGGGTCCAGGCCCCTCCACGGCACGGGCACTCACCCGGGTGAAAGCCCACCACCAGGTCGGGGCGGGCGGCCAGCTTGGTCTCCACGTGGCTTTCCCAGAAGTCGTGGTACAGCCCCTTGTAGCTGCTGAGATAGACCCTTCCCCGGGGTGCTGGCGCAGCCAGGGGTGGCCTCATGATGGCTCCGTCGACCACGTCCACCCCTATCATCACCACCTCCATGCCCCGGTGCCCCGGGAACATCCGCGTCAGCTCGTCGTAGTCCGTCAGCCGGGTATTGAGGGTCTCGACGTGGGACGCCCCCACCACGTGTACGGTGAGGGCCTTGGCGAGGGGGTCGATGCCAAAAAGCCGCAGCCCCAAGCCGATGGTGAGCGGCCGCGAGTGGAAGTCGGTGACCAACCGCCAGACGGATTCGCGCAGCTCCCCGTCCTCTGGCCGGGGCTTCCCGGCGTTGGCCCAGAGGAGGGTCATGTACCGCCCGGCCAGGATGGCGCCCAGCTTCTCCTCCAGCTGCCCCTGCATGGAGAACCAGTCCTCCCAGCCCTCCACGTCCCGGGCGGGTTTTGTCCAGGTGTCCGTGGGGAAGGGGATGTCTCCTGCGGGGGGTTAGGGAGAAGCTTTGGGGGTCTTTGGACAGCCAGGCTGCCCATCCCACCCGGGCTGTGGGGATACTGGTCTAGCCGGGGGGGGGGCTGGAACCAGGAGGAGGGAC